GTTGGGAGTTGGCTGGCCGGTATGGGTTGGCCGGACAAGGTGGGCGACCAATTGGTGTTTGGCCGGCCCAGGTGGCCAGTTGGTTGGTTCATTACCGGTTCGAGTGGTCAGACTCTTTTTGGTCAGCTCATGGTAGACTGCTAGCTGAACATCTAGTGCCCTACCTATGGTGGCCGGTAGGTGGCTTGTGGTTGTCGGAGGCCTATTTTTGGGCCATACATGATCAACTTTATAATTTATTTTTGGGAGAGAGTAATTGAACCTAAGTTAAGACGTGATACAATGATTTCTCATAATCAGTTTGGACTTATGCTAAGCAAGTCTACTATGGAAGCTATACATTTATTGAGAATTTTGATAGAGAAGTAACCAGAGAGTAAGGAAGATCTACATATGATTTTTATTGATTTAGAAATAACTTACGAAAAATTTTCATGAGATGTACTTTGAAGATTTTTAAAAGTTGTTGACATGACTTATATTCAAGTCATTAAATAAATTTATACTAGAGTTGTTACTTGTGTTCGAACAGAAGGAGGATTGACTAACTATTTTCTTATTTCAGTTGGATTTCATTAGGGATCAGAGTTTAAGCCAATTTCCTTTTGCTTTAGTTATGGATGCTCTCATTGGACATTTATAGGAGGTTGTACTTTTTTTTTTGCTTCTCACTTGTGGTATCCTTCTTGTGGATAAGACTAGAGAAAGAGTTTAGAAAAAACTTGAATTGTGGAGGTCTACTTTAAATTTTAAAGGCATTTGTTTGAGTAGATCTAAAACTGAATACATGAAATATCATTTTAGTAATAGTAGATCTAGTGGCAGAGTTAACAATGGGTGGTCAAATCATAAAAGCAGTGAATGTTTTAGATATCTTATGTTTATATTTCAAAGTGATGGCAATGTAAATGAGGATGTTATTAGAAGAATTCAAGTTAGATGGTTGAAGTGAAGAAATGCATTAGGTATGTTGTGTGATAGAAAAGTACCACTTAGAGTTTAAGAAAATTTTATAAGATGGAGGTGAGACATGCAATGCTTTATGATACAAAATGTTGGAAAATAAAACAAAAACATAAAACTAAGTTATATGTTGGTGAGATGAGAATGTTTAGGTAGATGAGTGGCTTTACACTTAGAGATAAAATGTGAAACGAATAAACGCGTGAAAGGGTTGAAATAGCTCTTGTGGAAGACAAGATTACAAAGAGTTCATCTTAGATGGTTTACTCATTTTAAATGTCAACCATCTGATGATCTGGTTAGAAGAGTAGATGTTTTTAGATTCTAGATTCAACTTATGTTAAGAAAAGGTAGAGGTAGACCTAAAAAGACCTTAGCATGTTGTATAAAAAAATGATCTTAATTTATTAGAATTAAATTAAAATATGACACTCAATACGACATATTGATGAAAAAAGGTTTATGTAGCAGAACCAACCTAGTGGGTTAAAGGTTTGTTGTTGTTGTTGTTAATCGAGTTGTATTACTTGACACATAGTTTATAACTTCTTCTAGTTAAGGGAAATCTTAATTAAGCAAAATAAAGAACAAATACCAACTTATTATGGGTTTTTTATGCACTTTTATTTATTTTATTGTATTTGGCTTCAATAAAATTTGTTGCATCATGTTGTTATGGGTTGTTTAGGTATACTTTGCTAGGGTTGGATAATCATTTCTACGCATGCTAGTTTATTTGCAACACTTTATCTATTTATTTATTTATTGCAAAGGTAAATAGAGAAATTTACATACATGCCACATAATTCTTATGCATTTACATATCTAACCCCTAAAGTATGAGTCATAAGAAAACATATCTCTTATAAGGCATGTAAAATACATAGTCAAGAGCTTTAGCCTTTCAAAATTTCCTACACTTTCCATGCCAATATAGATAGCTCTCTAGCAAAGAAATGTGAACAAAAATCGTGCACATTATAAGATGCTATAGTCAAGAGAGAAAGTGAATTAAAAATATATTTTAACAAGTAATAATATATATAGTTTAGAATTTGTGATATATATACTTTGTAAATGTACATGTTTTTCAAGTCATATATTATTCTACTTAAAAATTAGAAGATTGAATGAATTTAAAATTTTTCAATATTTTGCCTTCTTCACAAATAAAATATAAAAATAATTTTAAAACAAAATTACATATGATTAAGAGGAATAATATTATGACTTATAAGCATCTAAGCTATTTCAAAAAAATCACCACAAATGCTTTAATATTAAGCAATATTCAAGAAATAATCAAGTAAACATACACAAAAAGCTTATTTTAGTTCAAGGAATTAGTTTGTCTTTATAAATAACATAGTAAAGAAAGAAAAGAAAGGAAATATATAAAATTTTTTGTCTATTTACAAAATTTATTAATAATTATACGTGAATCAGCAAATCTCTTTTTATAAAGTGAAAAAAAATATAAGTAACATTATTATATCTAAATTGGTTGAGTGATCTACATCAATAAGAAAGGAGCTGAAAAAAAAAAGACTTGAGCCCAAGAGAATAGAGAGAGAATGAGCAAGAAAAAAAGACTTGAGCCCAAGAGAATAGAGAGAGAATGAGCAAGGAATAAGCCTTTCAATATTCAGGGAGGCATATGTGTCTTATTTTAATATCTCCAATTTATAGTGGATTTGACTTATAAATTATAAATTAAATAATTATTATACACAAATCTTAATTTAATCTATCCAATTTAGTCGCTTATGACATGGGTGTTGCAATTAATATTATAAACTCCTATTTGTTTTAATAATTGTTCCTCATAAATGCTTTTCCTCATAGTTTTCACCTCTAGTAACGTTTAATCAACCAACTTGGCCATGGAGCAATTTGAACTTTATGACTTTTGATCTTCCTAGGATGGTTTATCTCTCAAGAAAATTAATCTACCAAGAGAGTTGACCTCCTAGGCGAGTATGTTTCCTACTACTAAGAAAGTAAATCTTTTAGGAGAGGTGATGTCTTAGGAGAGTTGATCTTCTAAGTGAGTTGGTTTCATGGGAGAGTTGATCTCCAAGGCAAATTGATCTCTAGAGAGAGTTGATCTTTAGGAAAATTGATCTTTTGGGAGAGTGGTTGAGCTACTTTAATCAACCATCTGTGTGCTAATCATTATTGGTGAGCTAACTGGTCAAGTTCCCTAATCAGTATTAGTCTAATTGATTTGGTAGAGTTGTCTAGTCAACTCATCCAAGTACTTTATTTTTTCAACATCATTGAAAAAAATGGCAAGGATAAAGTTTGTCATAGACAAGAAGATGAGTTATAAAAAGAGAAAAACAAAAAAAAGGAGAATCTCTAACAACATGGTTAATAAAGGGAGAATCTCTCAAAACCTCTCCTCTTTTTATTTTATTTTATTTTGTTGTGCTATGATTTGTTTTAACTATACATAAATAACTTATTAAGTATATATCTATATACATATATATAATAGGTAATACAAAATATATTTACCTCATATAGTGAGTTTGCTATTAGCACTCAAGGATTTCGTCTCATTTAAAGTTCGAGAAAACTCACCCATTGTCGTCAAGTTTGCTAGATGGCTTATTGAACAAACTAGACAGTTCTGCTAGACAAATTCGACCAAGCAACTTGATTGGGTAACCAGATGAAATAGCTCGCTAATGATGATTAGTGCACAAATGCTTAACTAAGGTGGCATTACAATTCTCTTAGAAGATCAATGCACTTAGGAGATCAGCTCTCATAGGAGATTAGCGCTCCCAAGAGATTAACTCCAAAAATAATAATAGTAAGAATATTAAGTCTCCCAAGAAATCAACTAGTCCAGAAGATAAACTTTCCAAAGAGATAAGCTCTCATACGAGATCAACTCACCCAGAAGATCAATTCTCCCAGGAGATCATTTTGCCTAAAAAATCAACTCTCCTAAGAGATCAACTTCTCAACAAAGATCAACTCTTCTAGGAGATCAATTTGATCCAAAGTAGCCGACAAGAGCATTATCATAAGTGAAAAGTCTAAGAAAAAAATAGTTATGAGTAGGTGTTATCAGTATAATGATTTACTAAAATAATGTTAATTATAACACTGACAGAGAAGAAGCCATTGACCATACATCAAAGGTTTTTAAGGATTTTTGTATAATAAATACTTTATTTGTAACATATAAGTTTCCCCTCTCAAAATATGAGAAATTACTATAATATATGGTATGAATCTATTAATCTTGAAAGACTTATTCCTTTCACTCTTCCCCTTCTTTCAGGCTCAAGTATTTTCCTTTCTTCAACTCCTTTCGTGTTGATGTGGATTCATATACAAATCAGAATCCAACAAAAAATAGATAAAAATAATCATTACTTAAGAGTTAAAATATAAATTAGTCAATTATAATAATAAATAAAAATATATATTAATAAAATTATTACTAAAATAAAGATTCTAATTGCTCTTTTTGAGATTTCTTAGATATAGAACACCAATCCCTTAACTCATAATATAATTCTTAAGAAACAAGTCATCATGATAATATTTCTTTTATGATGAGAATAATAATATTGAAAGAAAACAAAAACTTCTCTACCACTTTAAAGATGAGTACAAGGGTACAAAATTGAATTACTTCCATTAGACTAGTCAATTGAACCGAGCAAGTTGAGTCATAAAAATGTTGGAGTTTAGGTGTTAGATGTCTAAATATATAGAAATCGTGTGGTATGTATCATAAATGTCCCAAATAAATAAAGTGAAATACATTATTTTAACTCTTAAAAAAGTGAAATATATCTTTTCATGTATATTTAGGATGACATATATGAAAAAAATGAAGTTTAGGTGTTAAATATGCAAATACATAAAAATTTAGTGATATTAATATAAATATTCCAAATAAGTAATAGTCTCAACATGAACAAATACCAGAGATATTCAAATAATCAGAAAATTATTGTTTATTGCTTCCATGCATTTTCCAAGAACTAGAATAATAATTAAATATAAAGAAATATATCTAATAATTACATTTTTTTACAAGTGCATATGAATGCTTAAATGCAGGCAAATAGAAAGAGGGCCCCCAACAATCCTAATCCCAGTCTTTTAACATCAATAAACTTATGGGTATACATTACAACAACAGTAACAAAAGGCAGCACAACATATAATATTACAAAGAAAAAACATTGCACAAAAGCTGCAGCAGATACTTCTTTTCTCCACCCAACTAATCATCTCTTTGGATGCAAAAATCAATCAGTTTACTCTTACTTCAAACACCCTAACACAGTTATCTCCTCCACAAGAAGCAAGCAGCATGGTTTTTGACTCCCCAGCCTCATCCGAACTCCAAGCCAAGCGGTGCACCGTTGATACGTGGCATAGGAAAGGATCGAACCGCTTCGCAACAGCAGCACTAAATGGCAGCGACGGACTTGTCCCACCTGAAACATTCCAGAGTTCGATCAGTCCGTTGTCCATCCCGACGGCAAGGATTCCGGTATTTGAGGATCGAATATGGCCGAGCCAAGATAAGGCAGTAACACTGTCCTTGAAGATTGGCAAGCTTGAAATCTGCTTGACAGAAGGAGGGTGGTTGGAGCTATCAATGGCAAAGATTTTGACAGTCTTGTCCCTTGACCCAGTTGCAAATTGGTGGCAGAAGGGGTTCCATGAACAAGTCCATATTATTCTTTTGTGTGCCTCTTGTTTTGTGATCAGTCTATGATTTACTTCATCTCCTAGAACAAGAAGGTTCATGTCATGAAAAGTAAAAGTAATGGTAACATGAAAAAGAGGAGGTAATCATTGATATGTGACTGATCACTTCATGTTTTTCAGGCTGTGCTTTTATTTGGTTACTTAAAATTATTTTTGTTTGGATTAGAGATGCTTAAGTAACTGAGTTCTAATAATAGTCATGATTAGTTTGTCAAATTTGCAACCAAAGAAAAGAAAGGTAACTGAAATACTTGTGATTTTATGAAGTATGAACCAACAAGATTTTCATAAGCAGATTAGAAGTTCAGATTGAATGACATTGCCTCTAAATTTCTTTGTGGTTCCAAAAGTTTGAGGTTCACCATTTTTATGAGAGATATCAAAATAATTCTATTATGTTCTATTCTACTTTCAAAGCCATAGTTAACAAATACATCAAATCTCATAAGTTTCTGTTTGCTCCAGGTACTACAGTTCTCAAGGAAACTCAGAAATGAAAAGGATAGAAGCAAGCCACTTTATCGATATTAATCAACAAAAAGAGAATACACACCAGATTTCTTGATTGAAAAGACGGAGAACTGCCGATCCCTTGAAACAGCCAGGAGAAAAGAATCGTCATGAGAAAATTCAATTTTAGTTACTGTTAAACTATGGGCCTGCAAGCGACCAACGGCCTTCCAAGATGTAACTTCCCACAACCATATTTCTGCAACTCCTGCCGACTGTGCCTGCAGGATGGAAGAATTGAAGCTAGAAGTAACAGATGAATATTTCAGGAAATTCAAAGCCTCGGTGGACCTGATAATGAAGATAAATAACTATTTATTTTGAAAAATATATGCAGATTTCACGTTTAAACAACAATTTATAAAGAAAAGTTAATGCGGTCAATTTTGTTCATATCAACCCCACAGCTCACAGGAACTTCAAGAACATCATTAGGCTTAGATTTTAAAAATATCTAGCAATTCTAGCAACATCCTAGACGAGAACAAACGGCGGTAGCACGAGAAGCTAGTCAAAGTCTCGCAGGCTTACTGAACCACTTATGGTTTCCAAATTTGTCCATTCCATGTGCCTTGATCTATAGGGTTGAGGTTGTCCTACTTTTAGAGGTGCAACTTTCCTCACTTAGCATTATTATCGTGAACAAGATTAATGCCGGACAAAACACCCAGCTCCTGTCTGGCAGGAACTTGAAGGCCTTCAGGGCAAGTTTTGTATGCCCAACAAAATCTCGAGTTATATTAGCATGGATAACTCAATCTCATGACAAATTTGTTAGTCCTAAAGACCTTCAAAGCAGACTATTTGGTTATGATCCTATTCGGCCCATTTTGCACATCATCAATTAGGTAGGAAGTTTAAGCCAACATGGGAGTACTGTTTGTGATAGAGAAAATCTACCAAAGCGGCTCTTATCAGCTTGCTGGTTCTAAAGGTGACTGCCCAATGCTTTCGATTAATGGGTTTTACTTGAAAAAGTGGCACGCTTAATTGCATTTCAAGAGCAAATGGCATTAATAAAATTATATTTTTTATATGCACATACATCGTTTTTCCAAGATTGTTTGAGCTTCCTTATAAATAAGGTCTCTCTCAGCAAATCTTTCCTACTTCCTCCTAAGGGATAACTAAGATAAAGTTCTAACATCTCCAGTAGATACTGAATATATCAGTTGTTCCTAACAGAAAAGATAAAGTCAAAATCCTAAATCAATTTTCAAATGTTAAATCTTGAGTTTGAAAATTTAAATTCTCAATCACATTCAAATACAAAATCCCAAATCCAATTTCAAAATCTCAAATTTCAAATTTAAAATTCAAATTATAAACTAGAATCAAAATTCAAAATTCATGTTCAAATCTAGATAAAAAATTCAAATCAAGTTTTGAATTTCAAATCTTAAATCAAATTCCAATTCAATCTCATGTCATAATCAAATGGCTCGTCCCAAGTTAGGATTCCTCCTTTAGGTTCCTTTTCTGTGGTTGGATATAGGTTTTACTTATAATTGCATTAAGCCTAGATGCCCCCTTTCCAATGTTTCCTCGACAGCTCTCATGCTAGGAGTGAGTTCCCGAATTTTATTTCCTGATCTACTCACCTGACTTGTTCTTAAGTTAGATCTGAGTTCTCGTGCTTCTTTTTCTAATAGTCACCATGCCTACCTCCTAGGTTAAGTGTGAGTCCTCGACCTTCATATCCTAGTGTAGTTAGTCCCAAATCTCTTGGTTAGACATGATGTCCCAAGTGGTTGACTTTTCTTCTAGGTTTGTCAACTTTCTGCTTCCCTATTGTCCCAGTGTTGGACGACACTTTGGCTTATAAGTTGAAGGTAGGCTCTCTACTCCTAGTGATGTAAGTGAAAACCCAAACACTAACGTTAGGTGTGATGTCCCAAGTGGTTTCTTTTCCTTCCGGGTCTGTCAACCCACCGCTTCTTTGTTGTCATATTGTTGACCGACACTATGGCATGTAAGCATAGGGTAGGCTCTCTACTCATAGCATTACTTGTGATGTCTCGAATGGTTGTCTTTCCTTCCGGTTTTTTTTACCTAGTGTTCTGCTGTTGTCCCAATGTCAGCTATGAGTCTAGGGTAGGCTCTCTACTCCTATCACTGTCATTAAGGGTGCATTTGGGAGAGCTTATTTACCGGTTGTTTGGAGAAAACGTTATGAGGGTGTTTTTCTAAACGTCGTTCGCACTTTTCTATTAGACGTCGAACGCGGGGTCCACCCCGCGATCCGCGTTTCATATGAGCGAAAGACATTTTCTGCCCCTCGCTCCCTCTGCCCTAACCTGTTCACTTCGACATCTCTTCCTCTCCCACTCGTCATCTCCTCTTTTCTTCGAATCGCGGCGCAGAGAGACCATCGTTTCTTCCTTCTTCTTCTCCGATCGTTGATCCATGGAATTGTTTTTGCTGTAAGGATTTCTTCTCTATTCCTCGTAAAGGTTTTGCTGATGTCTATGGTTCTAATAGACAAGCATTATTAGAACAAATATTGAAGGATCTCTTCTAATCGCCATCTTGCTTTTTTTTTTCTTAACATTCGCCATTAGTAGCTTCTGGGTAGGATTAGAGGATCTTTATGTGAGCATTAATGCAGTTTTGGTTATAAATTTTTTGTCTTTTGGTTCTTGGATCTTTGAACTGTAAGTTCTGGGGGAGTTCACTTTACTCTCAGTTGTTTGGCTGTAGAAATGTTGAAGGTTGGGGTGGGGGAGTTTTGAAGGATCTGTTGAATCTCCATTGTGAGATAGGTTTGGGGAGGAATTTCTTGTGCATTACGAGTGTAATTTTGACTGGTAATGACATTACTTTGTGCCTAGTGAAGAAGATTTGATCTTGTTGTTGGATCAGCTAATTGGTGTTAGTTTTCTGTTATTGTGAAACTGTGCTCCTTTGATGTTATCACAAATATTTGAGAGATATAAATGTAAACTATTTTGTGTTTTCATTTCTTAACATTTAAACTTGAAAAACTTTTCACATTCCATAAAAATCAATGTTGTGTTGAAATTTTCTGGTACTTCATGTGTGTCAAATGATTCTGAAGAGGGTTAAAGTGTTCAAAAATATTTGTTGAAAAAAGTACAACCTTTGCGTCACAGATTTTTCGTTTAACAATGAAAATCTGCAAATAAGTTGTTTACAAAATGTACAAACCAAACAACTGCAACTTATCCAGAACAGGGGCAGATTGGTCATTTTTCCAGAATCAGTTATTCTCTAAACGCATAAACCAAATAAACAGACAACTTATCCGGATCAGTTGCTTATCACCAGATTATCAGGATAAGTTAAATAAGCTGCAGCTGCCCCAAACAAACCCAAAAAAACCAAATCCTTAGATTAGAAGTGGTGTCCCAAGTCGTTGCCTTTACTTCCAAGTTTGTCGACCCACTGCTTCCCTGTTGTCCAGTACCTTGGCTTGTAAGCCCAGAGTAAGCTCTCTACTCCTATTGTCATTTAAAACATGAATTATTAGACTAGGTGTGTTGTCTCAATTTAAATTTAAGAAGGATTTTCGATAATATTTTGAACAAGTTTGAGGGCAAGATTTCATCAGGTTTTAGACCAGCTTAAAGGTTCTTTGGTAGCAAGACATGAGAAGGATATACATGGGATTTGAAGGTTATTTGGCAGCAAGATTTAAGCATATCTTACGCAACGTTTTGAGGTTATTTCACAACAATGATTGAGCATGTTTTATGCAACAGTTGAAAAGATTTGAGCAGCGTTCAAATGGGATTAAGGGGTTATGTGGATTGAGCTCCCTGTTATGAAAAACGACCGCAATAAAGTGAAAAAAAATGTATCGAAAAATTACAAACTAAAAAATAACACACAGATTTATGTGGTTCGGCTAATTTGACTAAGTCCACGGACTTGCAGAGGATTTTGTTACTTTGAGAAATTACACCACCGAGCGTCTCATTGTTTAAAAGAAAAATTCCTTTCCCTCTCTCTTCATTTCTCTCTCTTAGCTCTCAAGAAGACTTGGCTTAGCTCTTATGACAGGCCAAAAGAGACTGTTTAAAGAAAGCGGGAGAGAGGTAGGGGGAGAGAGGTAGGTGGGAGAGAGGTAGGTGGAGAGAGGTAGGTGGGAGAGAGATAGGTGAGGCGCGGTAGGTGAGGTAGATAAGTCGCAAGCTTCATATATTTAACAATCCCTTTCTTGTGTAAAGCAAAAAAGAGGATGGGGTGAGGGATGTAGCCTTTATCTCACTAAGTGGGCTCGGCAACATGAATCATTTTTCTCCATTGTGTCCTACTAAGTGTCGTCTTTTCATTTAATTCTAATAAATTAAGATAATTTTTATATAACATGCCCTAGACTTTTTTAGGTATACCTCCACCTTTCTTAACATAAGTAGAATACAATACAAAGAGGAGGAGAGTCAGGGCTTCATTTGATGAATTGTGACAGATCTGACAAACATGAAAGGGAAGAGTTGTGTGAGATCAAATAAAGAATTGCAATAGAGAGCTTGGGCTTCAGCATTCGAGATGCAACCAAGAAGAAGAGGAAGACAAGTGGCCCACTCGAGCGAATAAAAAATAAAATGAGAGAGTGCCCCTCACTGTAACAATTTCAGGAAGACGAGAGGGATTTGCCTCTTGTTCGAACCAAAGAAGAAGCTTCCGTTCATGTGATTCGCTTGAGTAAAACCTATAAGAAAAAAATGGAGGCTCGTTAGGCTTGTAATTCCTGAAGAAAGGAGACCTCATTTGGTTGGAATCGGAAGCAAATCGAAAAAAAAAATATTTAGGGACAATGCTCTTTGGCTATAAACCCCTCCTCTCCTTGATCAAGATCAATTGTTAGGATTTAAGAAGGGGAAAATGGCTTGGTCACAGCTTGCTTGATTGAATAAAGCCATGGCCAAGCATGGGCTTGAATTGAATCCAATTGGCCTTGGAGTTAAATTTATTTGGGCTTAGATTTGGCTTAGGTTGAATTTAGGCTTAGTTCTAAGTTTTGTTTAGTTAGATTAAGTTGAAATTAGTTTATTTTAGATTATATACAATAGTTTTTAGTTAGGGTTAGTTAAATTTAAGTATTGGTTCTAATTTCATTAGGATTAGTTTGATTAGGTGGGTTATATTTTACTTAGATTAAATTGATTATGATATAGGTTAGGCTTATGCTAAGTTTAAGTTGATTTAGTTTAAGGATTTTAATTTAATTTGATTTAGGTTGATTTAGAATTTAGATGGAATTTGATTGAGTTCGGTGTTCAAGTTTAACTCAATTTTCATTTGATTTAAATTTGATTAGATTTGGTTCTTCGCTTTAAATTTTTAATCGTAAGTGAATTGCTTTGGGTTTAGTTTAGATTTAGGGGTCATTTGGTTTGCTAAAAATGAAATTAAATGTAAAAGATTTACCGAGTACGATGATTACATTGTATTTGAAATACTTTCGAGTTGTTTAGTTCACTGTAAAAATAAACTTAGGATTTTATATTTTTTTGTTTGATTTGAAGTAGATTGAAAACAATGAATTTACATGGGCGAAAGGTAGAGAGTGGTCGATAGCGGGTGACGGCCAACAATGGCAAGCGGCGATTACTGCTGGCGGTCAAAGGCAGACAGTGGCAAGCCGCAATGGCAGAGGGTGGCGACTGGCAAGGGGTAGCAAGCGGAGGTAGTGGGCTGCAAGTGGCCTGCAACTAAGAAATGAAGTAATTCAAATTCGGTCGAATTCTAAATTCAGTCAAAATGAACTAAGGTGTAAACTTTGAATTCATTAAAAAATTGCATTATATTTGTACATTTTCATACCAAACACATAATTTTCTCAAATTACTGCAAAATATTTACAGTACACCACTATTTTACTCAACCAAACGGCCCCTTATCTTTGAATTATGTTTAATTATGGTTACATTTATGTTTAGTCTTTAGTTTTAATTAGATTAAAATTTGTGTTTAAGTTTTACTTAATAATTTTGAATTGATAGGTTGAAATAAATTTAACTTCAAATTTATATTAAAGTTCATTTTAGTCTTAATTTGGGTCCATTTTAAATTTATTTATGCTTAGTTCAATTTTTAGCTTAAATATATGTTTAATTGAATTAAGTTCAAGAATGGATTAATTTTGGATTTTAATTTTAATTTTAATTTGAACCAAGCCTAAATTCAACTAAAAGCCAACTCAAGAACTAACTGGTTTACACCAAGAGCAAACTATAGGGATCTAGTCGAGTTCACTTAGGACTGTAAGATCTTAGAGGGCCTAACATCATCTCTCATGAACAAGCCAAAGGCATTTGTTTCAAAAACTGGAAATCCTTATTTTCTACTATCCAATGATCTAACCATGACTAAATCAACTATGCTACTTAAGCATCAAATTCACCATTCAATCACCAAAAGGTAGCAAACACCTATCTAATTCCTAACATGCAATATAGATGGGAAAATTCTAATTCATTTGCTCAAATTTGGACAAATTTTCAAAAATCTCCATCCATGCTCCATATGTCATGTAGCTTGATCACTGCCCCAAAAGTAGTAAATGCCCATCATAACTTAGTGTTGAATGTTGAAATCATAAAAGCACCCTCATGATGGTGATCATTTGATTTTTGGAAAATCTACATACCTAGCACATAATTATCATATATTTACCTATCTCACACCTAAACTTTCATATTTACATATATAGCACTTTGATATTTTAAATCTATGTATGAAAAGCCGTAGTTCACTTTTAAAAAGTGGTAATAGTGCTATTTTTTATGTGATATTAAAGAATTTGAATGCCATGTGAATAAATACAAAAATTCAGGTATGTAATATGTAAATACACAAGAATTATGTGTATTAATTTTCCACACTTGAACTGTAAAGAATTTCCTTGGAGCCACAGCTCATTAGCTCATCATAAAATGGTATAAAGCCACAAAAACAAGCAGGTGATAGGAGAAAAACATTTGGAACTATGAAGTTGTTCAAATATAAATGACAAAATAATGCACATTGTTTACCTTGCATGAAGAAGCAACAAGCTTCCCCTCATGGTCACAGCAAAGTGAAAATAACTCATTCCCATGGCCATAAAGTTTGTGGGATTCAGGCCAAAGTGTGTGCCAGGCTAGTTGTTCTTCAACAGGAGCTTGATTCAAGACAACTGGCACGGCATCCGGAATTATCTCCAAAGAATCTGGAACCTCCTCCTTCATCCTCTTGGAGACCTCACTTACAGCTGGATTCAATGATCTTTTCAATGAGTATAAGCCTAATTAATCACAGTGCACAAGCACAAGGAAGTATACGCTTTCAATAAAAGTCTATAAAAGAAATACCAAAAGATAAAATAATGAAAGATTCATATACATAGCACTCAATTTCTATGTAAAAAAATTTAGCACCAAAACTTCAATTTTTACATACATACTGCCTTACCCATGCATGAAAAGATGTATTCCACTTCTTAAAAGTTAAAATGGAGGTATTTTTTATGTGATATGAAAGATTTGGGTGGTATAAATATGAAAAACAAAGTGTATCGGTAAAAGATGTAAATGCATAGGAATTGGGAGGTATGTATATACATACCCCTAAAAAAAATTTGACATGAATCTGTGTTTATGCATATGCATGCATATCCAGGAAAAAAAATGAGCTCCACTCGATGACCGAAAATGACTTGAGTTCCAATCACTTCGCAAAAATTCAAGCTTTAAGTTCTAATGTGAATCTAGACCCTGTAAGTGGAGGATAGTGAAAGCTCTAATTTCTAATAGCCATTGGATTTTGACAATAGAGTTTCCACCGTAAGGATCAAAACCATAGATCTTGATCAACAATGAAATTTTTTAATGTTTTAATCAGGCTTCAAGTAAAGAAAAAAAATGAGTAGCGTTCAAGTAATGATATAGAAATTAAGCAATAAAGGTAAGCATGCATAAGATTCATTAGACTTAAGTTTTTTAACAAAATAGAAATTAAGAACTTTACTCTCTCACAATACGATCCATTTCTTGAGGAATATTCTGACAAAGCTTGGTTGACTACCAAACTATAATGGATCTCACTAATTTTTGTCATCATATACCTATTTAACAAGGATAAACAATGTTGATTTAAGAGAAACACTAAAAAAATAAAAAGGATTAGAATATTAAGGATCAGTTTGGGGTGGTTGCAACTTTCTGTAAAGGTGATCTCTGATGGAGAAAGCTACTTCTTAAAAAGCTGCAGTGGAAATTAAAAATATATATTTTTTCCAAAAGATCAAACAACTTTCTTAAAACCACCGCACTTTAACAGATCAAAGCTAAAAAAAACCAGTTTCCTATCACAGAAATTTCTAGAAAGCAGCAATAAAATAATTTCTCAAACAGAGCAGTGGTGGTGGTCTAAAACACGAAACAGATAGAAGACCATCCCAAAAAGACCCTAAAACAGCTTTCAGTTAGGTAGACTATAGCCTAACTCAAAAAGTGGATGTCATTTAATGACAACAATATATAGAAAGTAATATCGCTGGTTAATTTTGATAAAATTTTTTAATTTATTATTGTGTTACAAGTGAAAGGTCAGGCTTGAGATTGAATTTTTAAGGTTTTGCAAATCTACCATTAGCATATATAGGTTTCTGTGAAAGCCCAAGAGCAGACATATTTGCCCCCAAGATCTGTACATCCTGCAGATCCTCAAAACCCAAGTTTTGGAGAACAGCGTGGTTAAGAGTCTTCAAAAATGATAAAGGAGCTTCAAATACCCTTGCAACTTTTTCTTCAGCTCCACTAACGAATTTGTGGTTCCCTTTCCCCTTTATAATAGCTACACAATTGATGTCATGCCCATGAACTTGCGGCCGTGCTATTTCATGCCATGGAGCCCTATTACCAAGGCATACTTCATTTCTCCATGGTGAAAAGATTCGAGTTGTCTGCAGTCATTATTTTGTACACATAGTCAAGATCTCAATTAAGATACAAGTAATCAACCAATAAAATCAATTACCACAATCAGAAGAACATGACATAGAAATCATAATAAAGCTTATTAAAATAATTGGAGAAGAATTTTCAACTAGCTTGCACCTATAACTAGCTTTGGATGTTTGTTATATGTTTTAAGAGATGATATCTCCAATATGATTGTGTTTTACAACATTTGCAGATTTTATTGTTGAAAGTATTAAGAGTGTTATTTCAAGACATATAATAACAATCTGAAGTGAAATAACTGCAAGAAAATTGGGCATATTAAAGCGATACATTAAAAACAAAGAAGACCCATCAAAAAACAGGTTTATCTTGCTGAAAAAAAAATGGTTCAACTTAGAAAGAAAATGAGACTAAAAAATTTCTTAATTCTTTCAAAAACTCTTTTAAGCCCTGCTCTCTCTAGCTCAAAATGGTACAAATTCTAACCTATATGCTTTAATGCCTCAAATAGTATCCCTAACACCTGGATAATAGATGAAAGAACTATCCATCAAATAATAACGTTGCTAACATTTTCTAAATCTACAAACTTTGTCACGACAATAGAACATAAAAGAACCAATGGCTCCCTTAACAATTTGTGTAAGTTAAGGAAATAGTCATATTTTTCATGCATTTACCCATAACTACAACGTGGGATTTTGTCACTAATAATTCCAGGACCACATTATAAAGAAAATAGTTGAAAAAGCTTAAAAAAAAATGAACTATACCTACTTAAAGATAATAATCACTTATCATACTCCTTTATAACTACCCTAAGGAAAAGCATTATCTGAGACCATCATTATAAATTAAAACATCACTCCTTCAAAGCCATATAAGATAAATTTTCTTCTCTTTTTATAAATATTTACATTATAAATTAAAACATCACTCCTTCAAAGCCATATAAGATACATTTTCTTCTCTTTTTATAAATATTTACATTGAAAATTTTCATTTTGCGATTTATTAAATTTCTATATATCATAGAGTTTCATTTCTTGAAAGTGAATCCAGATCATTTACACATTTCATTATATTTCACTTTGATATTTAAGGACATTAAAAAATAATTAATATTTTTTAATCTAAGTTATTCGTTACATTTATTAATGATTACACCAAGATTATTTTATTAAACAAAATTTTGATGCCATTCATCTTCTTCCAATCTTTATCTCTATGATAAAAAATTAATTTGGTATCAATGTTGAGAAAATAAGAACTAACAATGCTCGAGATTATTTTAATCAAATTATATCTTTTTTCCTAAATAAAAAAGGAATTATTCATCAATCCTTTTATCCTTACAGTTCACAACAAAATAAAATGACAAAAGAAAAAAATAGACACCCCATACAATTTATCAGGAACTTATTTTCTAAAATAAAGTTCTTAAAAGATTTTAGATGAACTGTTCTATCCTCCACATATCTCATTACTTAAATACCCTCAAAAGGATTTTAAAATTCCCATGAACTATCTTGCTATTTCTTTTCCACAAATATTCATTAATGTATTCATGCTATATAACGGATGGTTATCATTCGATCTGTGTTCAGGGATATTTTTCTTTCAAGAATTTGGTTCATTTTCTAAATTTTTGCTTCTTGTCAAAAACATTAACCAACTCAAATGACTCAGTAGAACATCCAATGCATATAGTTTGTCTTTGAAGCTTTAACACAACTAATGTAAGGATTATGCTGAAGATGGGATATAAAAAAGTGAAACCAATAAAAAGCCAATAACATATTTTCATCATATCAAAAAGAGAACTTACTTGGTCATTACTAACCGATAGTACATATTCACCGGATTTGGACCAAGCAATGTCACACACTGACGCATAATGGCCAGATGGAACTTTATGTGGCTTCCAATTTTCACAATCTAAACCCACATTTTTCCACAAATGAAATGATCCACCATATCCATGAGCAAGAATTGATTCACCATCCGGTGCCCAATGCCCGCCATAAAACCCCAACGCAGAGTGACTCAATTCACCAACAGTCACCATGTTAACCCAAATGCCAGTGATTTTTTCAGGTTTCCATATCATCATTGTCTTGTCCATAGATGCAGATAAGATACTCAAAGGTTGGTAGGACTCAACCTCACTTAAAGTTTTAGATAAAGGAGGATGCCACTTAACCGAATATACCCAATCTTCGTGTCCAACGAGAAGTGATTCTAGTGATACTTGATAGAACGTATTCCCCGCCACAAATAAAGGCCCTTCAATAAATGATGTCAAACCTATATCTTCCTTACGATATGGCACATCACAATAAGTTGAAGAACCACGAGCAGAAAGCTTCCATAATCGTATTGTTTTGTCCTGGCTTGAACTCACGAGCAGAATGCTCTTCGTCCCACCATCCAAACAAATTGGAAATGAAAAATCTAAACTTCTAATCCAGTCCATGTGGGCTTTCAGCTCGCAAACATGCACAAACTGCGTGCATCAATTAAAAATTAGTCAAGGAAGTGAAAATGTATATATTAATAATGCAAGAATGACATTTCACTGGCCTTTCCCTTAAGACCACCACAATAAAGATGGATCTTGTTGTCTAAGCCTCCAGTTGCTAAAACTATATTTTTTTTATCATCTGGCAGTTCTGCCAAAGACAATGCAACCACTGGTTTTGAACCCGCCGAGATGGATTGCAAGCATGAAATTTTACATTCATCTGTTATAAAATGAAATATGTTCAACATAAATCAAAATATAGATAAAATAGACAGAATTGTAATGAGTAATGATAAACAATGAACCTTGCATTACAGTAAATATTTTTACAAAAAATTTCTCCAAGAAATGAAGAATAATCACTAAAACTTCAAGCATGTTGTAAAGCCTCTCCAGTGACTTCTAAGTTCATATAAGAATCATTGATGCATCTTCTGCATTTCAACGTATAAGCCCAAAAGACTTACTTTTAGTTTCCAACAGGTGAACTAAATTTTCCATATCATATGAAAGATTTTTTGTCAAATAAAATGAAATGAATAGTTTTGAACCCACAGAGAAGGAAGGAATTTTACAAGAATTTCCTCTGATGAATGGGTAATCAATGACTACATTACTGCTGCATAAACATGTTCTCTCTTTATATATGCATGTGATGCATGTTTATGCTCAAATCTCAATATGATCATCATCATCAGCCTTTCCCGACAGTTTTCACTAAATCTGCTCATTTTTATAGCAGTTTACATAAGTTTATACAAATCCTTTTACATAATATCAAGGCATATTATGTTTGGCATATATCACTTTTCCTTCATTTTAATTCAATTTTATCTGCACGAGATATTGAAGCGCCAAAATAAATTGCATGATGCCTGCATATGAAGTTCTTACAAGTGACTTGTAATACAGGTGCATGAATCATACACAATATGCTCATCATCACCATCATAATCAGTAGCTTCATCCCAGCATCTGTTCAGTTTTAAAAGTTTTGTTCAATATAATTTTAAGTGCAACATTAAGAGTTAATTCTAGTTCATGCAAGTCTTTCAATGCAACTTCCATTTATCTGAAATTTGGATCATCTCTTTTTCTTCATAACTATTTCACAATAATTCTTTCTACATGCGTTATTAATGTCTTCTTTCCTTTGATTTTAGATGCCCAACTGACAATGACTATCATCAAGTGAGCTGTCTGACCCATCAATACTTAAGCCAAACCAAATAAAGGCCCTAATAGACTAATCATAATGGGTATAAGTTTTAATGAGCTAGTCAACTAGGTTTAAAAATTTAAAGACCTGGCAATGCCCAAACGATCTCTGGAATAACACAAAAATTAAACAAAAAATAATAGTGAGGTATTGTTAATAAACATAATTGAATGTTTCCCAATAAGTTAACTAATCATTTGCTTAAAATTTGTACCATCATCCTTATCGACATTAGCTTTATCTGAAATATTTATGATAAGCTTTATAAATCCTCGAAATTTCATTGATTCTTGCTAAGTGGTGCTAGAGATAACTTAATCTTCACAAATCACTTTGAAGAACTTCTATTCATATTACCCAAGTATACCTTTTAGCATTTCTAATCATTCAATGCAATTTTTAACCATTCAAATTATAATATAATAGGTACATTTTCAACTCCTTATCATACATGTAAAATACAATTTATCTATTTTTAATTACCTTAATATTAATAGATATACTCTAATCATTCCTCTAAAGTAAAGTGCCAAAATAGTCCTCTGACTGTTTTACATCGAATCATGTTAGTCCCAAAGTCTATAAAAGTGTAAAATTAATCCCAGACTCTTTAAATTAATGCATAAATAGTCCTCTGTTGAGACTATTTCAACCCATATTAAAAGGATTCAGGGACTAAATTGACAATTTTATAAACTTTGAACTGACATGTAATCAAAGGACTATTTTGACATTTTTCTCCATTCCTCCAATATAAACATTTATTAATTTTGAGAAGTCATAATAAAGTCCGCATACAATTAGAAACTAACAAAAAATGAATTTTGAACTTGAAGCACAACGGAATATACTTAGGCGGATTTTGATTCACATAAAAAATTGAGCACATTTCTTATATTAATTTTTAGTGGAGAATTACATTATATTTGAAATAGGCATGAGCAAGCATTAATAGGTACCGCCTAGCAAAGCCTAGGCTAGCCAAATTCCATAAACAAAGCCTATCGCTTATTTATAGACAAAATATAAGAATAATATTGACTCTTCCAGAGAATAATTATAAGTGATGTCAAGGAGCTATTTTTCCTTCGGTTTTGGGAGATTAGGTGCAACAAACAGAAGTCATCTCCAAAAAGGTGCTAGATAGATTGTGCTCTAACAAGCTTGAGAATGTGCAATCATGCATTTGGTTGACAATCCGAACAACCCATTACACAAGGAAGAACTTCCATTGGTGAGAATTAACTTGAAAGGGAGATTGAGCTAATGATAAAGGGGGTACCAAGGCACGTGTTGAGGGATTGAGGTATCAAAATACAGTGTCAATAGAGGCATCACTACAGTGTCGATAGGATACACAACTTGATGCCTTCGACTTTAAACTAAATGAGGCATCAACCTCAAGTCATGATGCAAGGAGTCTTTCTAGCATGAAAAATTTTCCACATAATCCCATCAATAGGAGAACTGATAAGCGTTGAGTCATCCGGTGAGAAGTGAAAAACTATGGAGTTGAAAAAATGTTGGACGATGCTAACAAGGGCATCACTAAGGAAGCTTCTAAAAATAGAGCTGATGGGAATAAAGAATGTCCAGAAAGATGGTGATCAGGAGCGGGATAGTGGGGCATCAAGATGAAAATCATTGCCTTATAACCAACGAGTGCTAGTCACAAGCACTTAAGAGTAGACTATCACTAAATATATAAGAAATGATAGCAAGGAAAATGCCAACAAAACAAACATGATCTGAGATCCGACGATTTTGGGCAGACAAAGGTCGAATGTTATGTGAATCAGACTACAACAAACTTCTGGATCATAACAACTATTGCAATCAGAGGAGAGCAAAGGGGGTGTAAAACAATAAGAATTATGTTTAGTTGGATCCCTCTAGTTAAAATCTTTAGTGTTTTCGACTGAATCAATGGGAAAGTAAAGATGTTTTGGTGTTGGTCTTGGGTCGAACCGTTGGGGGCTGGTCTTGCATAATGAGTTATTTTGGGAATGGATTTCTTCTAAGGATACCAACTCAACCTACCAATTATCTATTGTGCATAACCTCAAGTGAGTGCAAAAAACTAGATTTTATAATAACCCATGAAACCCCTACATACCAATAAACTTTAGTTCCAATAGCTAAAATTAGAACTTGCATTGTTTTACATTTCTACCATGGACAATTCAACCATTGGATTTGAACCCATAAATGGATTCCACTCATGAAGTTTAGAAACACCTATAAGAGAATCTAATATGCTTAACATTCCATTAACTTGGGTACTATAACCCAAATATTAATGAGAAAAAGTAAATAGTAAAACCAACATTACAGAAGAACGTTTATAAGAACTACTAAAGATAAAGAGAAATTATTAGTAAGTACATGTTGCCTATAAATTATTAAAACTGGCTTACAATACAAGTTCATGCCAAGGGAGGTTAGTTTGTTGTTTTGCTTACATAGTAATATTGCAGCAGTAGTCTTGGAAACGGCATCATTTTGCTCCATCTCGCCTACAGTTGGTGCTACGGCAAAGAAGCAACTGCTATCCCCTTACACGAATGATGAGATGGTATTGTTTCTCTGCTTTCTCTTCTCTTATCAGCCGAATTCAACTTTGGATTTAAGTTCATTTGGATTACTGTGTAGTTTGTTTAGATCCTTTTGTAAATTATTTAGCATAGTTTTAACCATATATTAGCAGTTAACCTTGTATGGATGGGCTACGGGCAGCACAATAGAAATTGAGGTCAACATATTTTTTGCTTGATTTGTAAATATCAATGTTTCGGGTGTTGTGTATGTAATTATCCTTTTTTTTATTTTTATCCTAGTAGTTTAGTTCCATCACCTATTAAAGCTAAAAGTTTCTTCAGATGATTATTCAAACTGAACAGCTGAACACACATATGTATACATTCCAAATTTTAAAATAATTCAAAATTTAAAATTAAGCATAACGTTAACTGCAGGCAACAGATTAATAATAAATGCAAAAAAAAAACATTTTTTAAAGCTAAGTTAATGGTTGCATGCTGAAATTTTTGTTCGATTGATCAATCTTGAAATGTAGTGATTCCTCAAAAAAATATCATTCTTTATGTGTAACAAATACTATAAATAATGTTAATTTTGATAATATTATAATTTAAGAAAAAAATAATTTTTAAAGCTAAATTATTGCAACATTTTGATCTTATTTAAATAATTTTATAATTATTATTTCATCCAATTTAACCCCAGAAAAACTAAATAACCTTGAATCTTTGTTTCTTTATATTCATCCGGTCTGATTTTCACAACCTTAAAGTTTATCTTGTGATAGTTCAAAACATCCTATTTTTTCCTTTATTATATAGGGTCTTCTAATGAATAAGCAATCATTTTATATCTAATTATGGTATCAAAGTGGGATTAATCCTAATCCTAGGAATTGTCGCTACCTTTCCCCACCTGAAACTTGCATTGTGATCATACCTTCACTTTCCATGAACTCGCTCCCCAATAGAAACGCTCATTACAATCCCACATATCCATAGTGTCCACAACCACATGTTGCGTCTATTACTAACCCCACACTTGACTCTCCACCTAACAGCATTCTCATTCCATAACCCAAGTGCCACTCATCTACAGCCATTCCTCTTATGCTCAAGTTACAGAGCCCGCTACTGAACCTCCTATGCCCATCTCGACACACGTTGCCTTCACATAATTGTATTTGCATAACTTATTGATAAAAATTTTAAGAATCACTACACATTGCCCAGATGACATAAGGTTGCTTTCACTATCTTATCTTTATAGATAATATTCTCATCATATGCATAACACAATAATATAAGAATGATAAACTATGAATAATCATCAAAATCATAAGAGCACTAAAAAGAAACTAGAATATGTTGTTAAGAAGAACGGTGTGATCAAGTGCATAGGCTCTTAAGGTTTAGGGACAAGTAATGGATGCAATTTTACCATAATATTGGCAAAGAAATTATTTACAATATGCAAATAAGAATAATTTAATATTTACACCAACGATATATCTAAAAAAATTATAGAACTATTAAAAAAACACATAGGAATTAGCCAAGCAAGATTTTCACAAAGCCATATTTTATTTTTATCTAAACTCTTAATAGTTTTAGGGGAAAGCATGAACCTACATTTATTTAATTCTTCAAATCTTTGCTCTCCCACAAAATCTAATTGGCAGTGGAGATGACTGATTTTTTGGCAACATGGATTCAAACAAAAAACCTTTAAACACTAATAACTTACTAGAAATAGCCAAAATAACTTTAACCACTTCCATGGCTTCTCTTAGATACATAATAAAACCTCATAACCTACCTGAAAAAAAGGAAATTGAAAAAAAATAACATACACAGAAGGAATATATCTCCTAAGTTAAGACATCGTCACAATTGACCAAGTTAGATAGGACATAGAGCGATATATAGATAGGCCTTAATTACAACAAAAAAAGAAAAGGCGAAACTTGGCTTAGCCATAGAGATGGAAAATCCTTGAGTGGCAGCAAAAGTCCATACTTTCAACTCAATCTACTAGTAAAAGAAATGCATAAAGGATCAATGAGTATGAGCAAAAGAATAAATTCTGGCAAACAGATTAACTTACCATTTATACCTAATGGAAAAACAATTTCCCACACAGCAATACTTCTATCTGAAGAGGTGGAAGCAATTATTCCAATATTTTCAGATAACATTATTCCTGTAAGGCATGTAACACCTTTCTTATGCATTTCTGGAATTTGCAAGGCATGTCTCCACTGCAAAATTAAATGTGATAGTAATGAAAAAATCTGACAGAGACAAAAGCTGAATATGCATCAACCATAAACATCAGTTCATGAAATCCAATATCAAAGTGGAAAAATTAATTTAGAAATCATAACACAATAGAATTCTGACCAAAAAACAATGAGATGCATGAAAGAATTTCATCAGCATATTTAACATAAACTCAAAAGAAACAAGGATTTCATTAATAACAAGTTAATTCGAAAAGAACATGAAACAGAGTATCACTAACATATCGAGCAACATCATCAATACTTGCAAATTTTTAAAGGTGTTGTGCGGAGGGAAGCAGAGCGGAGAGATGAGAACTGGAAGAAGGAAGATGGAGGCCGAAAAAATAATCGTAAAGTGAGCTTAACCTATCTCAAGAAACAAATTATTTATGCTTATGAAACAAATTATTTATACTCAATGTTTTTTGTGCAAATAAGAATAAAGATGGAAGAATGAACTAAAGTATCATGGCAATTCAAATTGACTACTATAGCTGCAGCTTCCTGCAACCAGATAAGATGAAGCATGAGTTTAGTTAACTTGAGCTACACACAGTGTAATCTCAAGCTCGAGCTTAGTTAATGAAAAGAGCCCAGGATGAAGACAATGAGTTCAAGTTAGCTTATTATTCAGCTCATCCTCCCATGAAAGAGAAATCATTTAAAGAGTTAATGGATAAAATGAAAAAAAAAAGACAAAAGAAGAGAAAATTGAGAAATTAGATGGGAGATAGAGACACCAATATTTTAATTTGTTCATAACTTTGTCTATAAACCCTTTAATTATAACATTTTTAAATATATCTACATCAATATTTTTGAGACAGCCGACTAGCAAACACAGAAGCCGAGCTAGGACTTATTTAAGCTTTGCTTATTGCCTCATCAAGCTCGGCTCATAAGTCATTCATCAAACTACCAAAAAAAAAAAAAAAAAAAAAAAAAAAGTCGTTACCTACAGAATTCAAGGAACAGCCCGCTGCATGAAAAGAAATGACATTCCAAGTACCTTTCTTTCTATAGTATGAAACTCCCAGAGCATAATTATGCCATCTGCACTTGCTGAGAGGAGATGGTGCTTTTCTGCATGTTGAACTGTTATAAACAAGCAAAAAAAAAAACTTAGTGCCGCCCAGTATATTTCCTGATCAGGATAACATTCATTATATTCTGGCTTAAGCTTAGTGCCGCCCAGCATATTTCCTGATCAGGATAACATTCATTATATTCTGCTAATGAACAGCTAAAGATTCAATGAAGCTACGTGTAAAAATTACTTATAATAATTGGAATAAATCCCCAGAAAAGTCAATACAAAATAAGAATATGAATCTTAGAATGTCATTATCATCATTGAAGTTAAAAAAGGCAAAATCAGGAACCGAGGCATCTTGAGGCATCTTTCCTTAGCGAGGTGAGGCTTAAGCTCGAGGCAAATCGAGCAGTAAGCCTCAAAAAAAGAAGAAACTCATAAAATTAAAAATGGTTTATAAATATAATATAAATGATCAATATGGTGATTTAATTTATTATCATAAAGAGATAAATCACAAATATACTAAGATCTCAAGCAAGTTATTAAGCATGGACAATACATAAAACTGATGGCTAACTATATCCCATATTACTTCTAGCCTATTTTTTCTTCAAATTTAATTTGGTAGTTTCTTGTGCTAACTGCAAGTCATATGCTCATTCATAATAAAAAATACATAAAATTAGTAAATGTAAAATATTTTGCAATGAAAGCATCACTTGTAAATATTCTTATAAGTGATAGTAAACAATGATATTGATGGATAATAAAAAGATAAATCATAAAATAGTAATATTATAAGAAATTAACACAATTTTCAAAATTTTCTAATATTTACTTAAATCATGTAAAAATCAAACAGTCTTCCAAGCAGAAACTTCTACACAACACTACATCATCTCTACTCTAATTACGGTGGATGGACCACCTATAGTTTGTTCGAGTAACCTTATTAAACATAGAACATGGAAAAAAACATTAAATTCATTTTTTTAAAGTTCAAAAACACAACAAATTTCATATTAAAAACAATTGATAAGGAGTTCATGTTTATTTGGATGGAGAGGATATATGAGATGATAATTTTGCCCTCATAAATGATATTGGTAAACCTCAACAAAATAACCTAAAAATATTAAATGAAAAAAATTAACACTGGTGAATATAAAAAAATTGGAAAGATAAAGCCCAAAAAGAAATTCAACATCTTATTACTAATCCACCAAAAAAAATTATGTTAATATTTTCATTTAAATAAATGCAAGGATATTGATGCCGTTGTTCATAAGATGCTATTCTTACAACAATCCATGTACCTTTTTTATGACTTAATAAAATCAACAAGTGTAATTTCTCCACTTTAGGTATTTTAGTTGACCCGTTCTTGGATTTTCTAGCTCATATGATGCGTCCTCTCCTGTAAGATTATTATAGATTTGTGTGATATTGTTAATACCTTGTTCTCCTGTAAATCACTATCATCACACCCCTTCTTACCTGGCAATCGACGTCTCTGCTTTACTTTAAAATCTGAGACACAACCCTAACCTATGATATTTGAGAAAAATTGATTCGATTGAACAATCCTCTTCAACCATGCTCTCCAATCATTAAATCAAACTATTGTCTTTTCAGTTGCTAATTGAAGAATATATTCCTACAACCATCAATTTATAAGCCCAATATTGCCCACAAATCACCCTCTCTCCTTCAGTAACTTAAGTCTCTCCACGACACCCTCATTCATTGATTGTTCCTCCAAATCTCAACAATCTCCTAAGTTTTATAATCAATTTCCTCAATTTGGAATTTAGATTTCAAAGTTTGGAACTCAAATTCAAACTAAATTTGAATTTTTATCTTCTAACCGCCTTTCCCAAACTTTCCCACATGTTATTCTTCATTTTGTATTCAAACTTCTAAAATTGAACTCAAAACATTATCACATTCTAAATTTATCTGTTTAGTTGAACCAAGACAGTCATAGGCCCGCAAGAAATGTCTTTCCCAGGTTTTCAACTCAAAAATCAAGTTTCCAAGGGTCTATTTGGCACAGCGGTAGAATTGCGGCGCAGCACCCCGCTGCAAAATTGAACATTTGATTAGGGAGGCGCAGGCAAATTTCATTAAACGTGCTTGATAATCCCCATCACGATCTACGAGATACGTTTGCGCTTTCTTAGGTTCTCTATTGTACCTATGATCCCCCCACCTCGCTCGGCCTCGTCCCGCATTGACTGTCCCTAGAATTTTTTCTCCTCTCTTCTTTTTCTTCGTTCACCAACACCTGTGAAGAGGGTTTCCCAGCATTTGGTTCCTTCTTCCTCCGGTATCTTCTACCCCTCATATATTCTTGATGGCTTTACTCTATTAAGCATATGGTTTGCACGGAGATTCTCGTTCTGAGATTTTTACTTACAGAGCATCGGAGACATCCTTTTTTTCCTCTATTTTCGGTGGCTTCGACTCTGTTTGGCTTGTGTTTTGCGATTTCAGTTTTGTTTTGATCTGTTCAGTTTGTGGATTTGCTCTGTTCGTTTTAGTTTTATTGGTTTAATTACATACCTAGCACTTTAAAGCATGGTTTATGGTTTGCTCTTCCTGGTATCGTTTTCATATTTGAGTAGAATTTGAGAAATGGATAAAAGTTGGTGTTGGATTTGTGAATAGTAATGTTCCGGGTGTTGAATATCTTATGAATATGGATTGGGATTTTATCATGAATTTTGATATTTTAGTGAGAATTTGAAAAATGAATGAAAGATGGTGGTGGATTTGTTAACAGCAATGTTTTGGGTGTTCTGTATGTTATGAATATGGATTGAGAGTTTATCATGAATTATAATATTTGAGTGAGAATTTGAAAAATGGGTGAAAGATGGAGTGTATATATTTTGTTTTTATGTAAAATAGATGAAAGGTAGTATATTTTGTTGTGTAATAGCAATGTTTCGGGTGTTGTGCATATTTTGTTATTTATATTTTGAAAAATGGATGAAAGATGGTACTGTGAAATGATAATGCTATGCACTTTGATTTCATGGTTATTGAACTTCATAATTAAGAAGCTAATGTGACATGGTGAGTTTTCAATAGTTCAAATTCCATTTTGTTTTTAGTGTTTCTCATGTGCTTTCAAAATTTGTTGCCACTACTTGTTTGGTGTGGAGTTGGTGGAGTGCGGTGTGGAGTTGGTGGAGTGTGGTGTGGAGGGGGTGGTGCATGGTGAAGGAGGATGGTGTGTGGTGACAAGGTGGTAGTGTGGGTAGTGGGGTGTGGTGTGGAGGGGGTGGTGCATGGTGAAAAGGTGGTGGTGTGGTGAGTGGATGTGGTGTGTGTGGTGTGGAGGAGGATGGTGTGTGGTGACAAGGTGGTAGTGTGGTGTGGGGGTGTGTTGTGTAGGGTGGTAGTGTGGTGTGTGGATGTGCTGTGCAGGGTGGTGCATAGGTGGTGGTGGTGTGTGTCATGGAGAAGGTTGTGTGGTGTGGAGTTGGTGGTGTGGTGTATGGATGTGATGTATTAGTGGTGGTGTGTGGATGTGGGGGGTGATGGTCGTGGTGTGTGGATGTGCGGGTGGTGGTGGTGTGTGTTGTGGAGAAGATTGTGTGCGGTGTGTGGTGTGATAATATTATTTTTCTTTTGAGTTGTGGTTATTAATTTTTGTGACAAATGTTTATGTTGTTTGATTATTTTCATGCTAGTAACACAATGTTTAAGACAAAAAAGTTTGGTTCATCTGCTACGTGGGATAAATAAGTCAAACTAATATTTTGCGACCTCTGTCTTTAGAAGATGAAATTGGGAAATAGAACCACAACTTATTTTAACAAGGACGCCTGACAAAATATTATAAAAAAAATTCATACAAGCGAATACGATATGATTCAATTGAAAAACAAATGAGATCAATTAAAATTAAAAAATTTTGGAAAGAATTGAAACGAGGATCCATGGGCATGGGTTGGGACCCTATTAAGCGAACAATTGATGTTTCAAAAGAATAGTGGGCCAAGAGATTGGAGGTGAAAATTGATCAAACCTACAAAATATATATTTTTTTTCAAATACATGAACATATTCATCTCCCATTATTTTGTAGGTGGTGTCCACTGTAAAAAAAAACTAAATTAATCCTGAGCTGGAAGAGAAGTTAGATCGCATATTTAGTCAAGTCGTGGCAACAGATGATCATGCATGGGCCCCTAGTAAACGAGGGTTTGCAGGCATATCTGAGAGCTTGGATGTTGAAGGAACAGCTAACTCCAATGAAGGCCCCAACCCAAACGTCAATGAAGTTAAATCCACTAGTCGATCAAAGTGTCCAAGGATTGAGAAAAAAGAAAAAAGAAGACCTTCACATTAGAAGCTAAATTTTACAATTTGTTGTTTCATGTACAAATAACCTGGGACATCACAAGCAACTTCCATCCAGCAGGTTATGCAAATTTTTGAGGCAACTCCAGAAATTTATGAGGACGTTTCGTTATATTTGTTCTCCATAAAGTTGTTGGAAGATTTGAACCGCTGAGAGTTCTTTATGACGATAACCCCTGACTGTAGGGTGAATTATTTATGTAATTTTCATGACAACAAGGAAGCTTGAATTTCATTATTTCTAGTTTGACTATTTGTATTTGTTTTTCATTATGAAAATTTGGCTTTTCTTTTGGAAAGTAATTTTTCTTTGAGACAATGTTAATGTTGTTTTGGATGTTTGTTTTTCGTTATACAATTTGTTATTTGTTTTTTCAAATTTATTTATAATTGTTGATTGTTTAAAGAATGTTCTCATAGTGGCTAATTCGGTGATTCTTAGATTTGAATAGAGATTGCCTAACATGGATGCACGTAGGGAAGGACGTAGAAGAAAAATTGCAATTGCGGTGTGTTTGATATATGAGTAATATAACTCATACATAGTTCAATCTTCTTACATGACATCATCATACACTAGTGATAAATGAGTTTGGGGAGTTGTTTGTAGGGCACCCAACAAAATTCAACAATAAGTTTCGTATGACGCAACCAGCATTCATTGACCTCTTGAAGAAACTACACAGGAAACATGTACTCCGTGGCTCCTCTAGAATAATTTCCAGAAAGATATGAGCATTAACCCTTTACATTTTATCACAAAATAAATTTATGGGAGAAGTCATGGAGCGATTCCAGCACCCATCAGAAACAATCAGTAGATAATTTTTAATTAAGTTGAATGTTCTAGTCAGTTTATCATTATACATTATTAAGCCAAATGACCCAACATTTGAAAGGACTTCAATGGGGATTGCACATGACCCGCGATATATGTAATATTTTTAAGTTATTTTTTTATTCATTAATTTCATAAGTCCGATGAATATAGCAATTTAGATACTTTGCTAAAGTTTTTAGAATTGCATTGAAACAGTTGATGAAATACACGTCAATGCACATTTATCAAATAATGAAAAATAACATTAATTGGGTGACGTGGATCACCAATACAAAATGTAATGGTTGTATGTGACTTCAGCATGTGCTTTTATTATAGCTGGTTGGGAGGGCAGTGCACACGATAGTCATATATTCAAATTTGCCACAACTCAAAAATACAACTTTCTTCACCCACCCCCAGGTTTGCTCCATCATAAACTTTAATGCAATACTAATTTTTATATTTGTGTCAGATAAATATTATTTAGTCGATGTAGGATATTTTTTTTATAATATTGTATCTAAAAATTTGTGTTTCGCTGTTTTAAACCTTCGGGAAAGATGAGTTTGAGGACTTTGGATACCTCCAGAGCATTGTACTGTTATTGTAGATTGTAATGCACTCTGCTTGCTTTGGAACAGTCACAAGGCTACATAAGACAATTTTATAGATGCCCGAGGACGAGAACAAAAAACTGTGATTTCTTTAGCTGGGCAAATAAGTTTGAGTTATTGATCACCATAGCGATCAGGCGTGCCAAGTTTTTTTGAATAAAGGCTTATCTCATGACATAAACCAAGTATATTTTAAAAGTAATATTATCATATTATTAATTATTATTTTAATAATCTTTTTTTTTAAAATTTTGATTGTCGTGCTACTCATTGTTTAGAGAGTTGTCTTTTGAAGAGTCTGCTTTTTTTTTTGTAACGTCCAAACTATGTATTTGTTTTCAAGTATAGACTGTGTTGGTATGAACAATTTTGTTATAAACAACACTATATTGCAGAGGCAGAAATATCATTTGTTCAAAAGCCGCTGCAACACCGTTGTTTCAAAACTGCAAAAAAACAGACAGACAGTTTATCCGCAGCAACTTCCTGCCACAGTTGTTACGTAAAAAATAAACAGACAGACAGCTTATCCGCAGCAACTTCCTGCCACAGTTGTTACGTAACAATTTTTTTATAAGTTGTTGCTACCCCAAATAGACTCTAAATGCAAAAAATCATTTCAAGCATTTACCTAAGCAACCATAAATCAAGGAGTGTCATTTCTCCGCTTTAGATATTTCAGTTCACCAATACTCGTGTTTTCTAGGTTGTATGATGCTTCTATTCCTTTAGAAGTGTCAGAGATCTATGTGAGTTAGTCAATTCCTCATTCCCTTGTAAATTCATATCTTCAACCTCTTCTTATCTGGCAGCCTCTCTCTACTTACTTTAAAATCCAATGAACAACTCTATCCTTTGACATTCGAGCAAAATTTATCCAAATAAACTAAGTCTTTTGCCCCTCTTCTCTAATCCTTGCATTATATTATTATCGTTTCATTTGGGATAATGTTTGCTAAAAACCATCAATTTATAAGCAGAGATTACACAAAGACCATCTCCATTCGTCCAGTACCTTGAGTTTCCCCCATTCATTGATCCCTCCAAATTTCAAACCCGCATTTTCGAGTCAAAAACCTCTAGTTAAAATTTAGGTTTCAAAATATGGAAAGCAAAATTCAAACTTAAATTTTGAATTTCTAAGCGGTCTTCCTAAACTTTCTCCAATATCATCCCCTCTTTGATTCAAATGCTGAATTTTAAATTGGATTCAAAACATAACTTTCTAAACTCATCCATTGAGTGGAATCAACACACTCAAGAGCTCACAAGAAACATCTTTTCCCTGGTTTCGAGCTCAAAAATCATATCTTATCCATTTTGTGGAATCAAGACAGTCAAAAGCTCGCAAGAAACGTCGTTCCCAGGTTTTCAACTCAAAAATCATATTTCTAAAAGCAAAAAACCATTTCAAGCATTTACCTAAACAACCATAAATCAATGAGTGGCATTTCTTCTCTTTAGATATTTCAGTTGACCAATACTAGTGTTTTCTAGGTTGCATGATGCTTCTGCTCCTCTAGGAGTGTCAGAGATCTGGGTGAGCTAGTCAATTCCTCGTTCCCTTGAAAATTCATATCTTCAACCTCTTCTTATCTGGCAACCCGCCTCTCTGCGCTACTTTAAAATCCAATAGACAACTCTATCCTTTGGCATTCCAGCAATATTTATCCGAATAAACTAAGCTCTTTGGTCCACTTCTCTAATCCTTACATCATATTATTATTTTTTCATTTGGGAGAATCTACCTTTAAAGCCATCAATTTATAAGCCAAGATTACACAAAAACCATCCTCATTCCTTCAGTACCTTGAATTTCCCCACCGCACCCCCTTTCATCGATCCCTCCGAATTTCAACCCCCTCCTCATTTTCCCATCAAAATCCTCCAGTTGAAATTCTGGTTTCAAAGTATGGAACTCAAATTCAAACATAAAATTTGAATTTTGAATTTATAACCGGCTTTCCTAAACTTTCTCCAATGTCATCCCCTCTTTGAATTCAAAAACTGAATTTTAAATAGAATCCAAAAATATTATAACTTTCTAAACGCATCCATTGAGTGGAATCAACACACTCAAGAGCTCACAAGAAACATCTTTTCCCAGGTTTCCAACTCAAAAATCATATCTTTTAAATACAGAAAAACATTCCAAACATTTGCCCCAACAGATATAAAATCAATTTGCTAAAATCAACCAAAAAAATCAATTTCAAAGATAAAAAAACTACAAAAAAGGCACCTTTGTATGCATCTTTGCTAGATGGAAGCCATTGTGTACAATTGACGACGGCCTTGTGACCGGGAAGGGTTGTCAAAATTTGAGCACTCTGCAGAAACCAACGAGGAAAAAAAAACTCAAAATAACCATAGTTTCCTGATCAGAAGAAGTTTATACTAAAAGAAGCAAACCTTGGGACAGAATACACCGACGGCGTTCTGAGCACCGAAAGCGACCAGGCCGGAGGCTCCCCAAGAGACGTTGTTCACCACACGGTTGCAACCGGCTCCGATGAACAGCCTTTCTACCTCCACATTGCCGCCATCGAAGCAAGACCGCTCCATCTCGACCGCTCAGAGGAAGAAGAAGGAGACTCGCACGGGGAAGAGGAAGCGGGCGATTAAACCCTTCCCCGCCATGGGATGTATTCCCAGGAAACGGAGCCCGTGTTTTTGTAAGACCTCGGGAATCGGGTTGACCCGAAGCGACACGGCAGTTTGGATGGACCGGTTAATTGTTGGATTGAGGATTTAACTTTTATACGTATTACTTTAATTGTTCGAATTTATATGGTTGTGTCAATCTTATATGTTAAATTTAAGTATGTATATATATAAATAAATAAATAAATAAATATATATAGAAATTATAAGATTAAGAAGAGGGAATAAGAAAAATAGAGTGAGAAGCAGCATAATTTTATTATTATTAAAAAATATAAAGTTGTTGGACCCAAAAGTGTCGAGAAATCACCCCAAGGAATATAACACGCTAGGTAAATAAGAGAGAATAGATGAACAATAAAAATAAGAGTATCTAGAGTTTTTCTTCATAAAGAGGTATATTATTTATAGGTATAGGAGATAACTTGAGTGCATAATTATCTTTAGGCCGCCTCTTTTTAAAAAAAATCATAGGGGCACGAAGGTCATTTGCAAAATACATTTAAATATGCTAACAAATAGATTACTGGCTGACAGCTTTCCTCGTCGGCTCATACTTGTTCGTTCAGCACTGACATATCGAACCATGTGGGGATAATATGAGGGCTGCTCGGTTGAGCTTATGGCTTCCTTTATGACCCTAGTTCGCCTTCCTCATTCGCTTAATGAAAGGACATCCTTCGTTCGGCTTCACATCTTCATTCGGCTCGTTCTACGGATGTCTTTCGTTCGGCTACCCTGTCGGTCAGTGAGTTGACCAGCCAAACGGTCGGGCTGGGTTCTGGGCGTTCTTCCTATCTCGACATTAATTCCTTTCTAGATAAATTAGATTAATTCATTGGATGACCTTGACATACTTTGACTGGGGAAGGGGGCACCTCATTTATCATTACACATTTTGCTTTGAAATTCGTGTCAACGCAATCTTATTAGTTCCGCAACTTTATTGTTTTTTAAAGCGTTGATGTGATAAAAACAAGAAAGTTAAGTACTACATAAAATGCTTTATTATTTTTTTGCAATCAGCATTTAATAATTACTCTATGAACTTTCGTACACTATCACCCTATAAATAGGTTGTCACTTGTGGCTCTTTCTTTCACATTCCTTCCATGCTTAGAGCCTTGGTTGTTTTCTGCAGAAGGCACTCGAATGACTAGTGGCAAAAGAAGCGATTCCGGCAAACCATCAGACAATGTTTTGATGAAGATATTTGGGTTGCCAAATGAGAAAATTTGTCTTTCGCAAGTCCTCGATAAAAATTGTCGTCATGAAGATGGTTCAATTGGCGAGCGAGGAAAACACCCTGAGGGTGACGAACCTGCAAGAAGAGAAGAGGGAAGCAATTAGCCTTCAAAAAGGGGACATTAGACGGGTGTGGAGTTTGATGATGTTTCTTTTTTGGTCGGAAAACTGGCAAGGATCCATTCACTACTCCTGTTGGGGCACTAGTTGAACCCAACAGGTAGGTGGAGAAGGACACTCGGAGGACTTCTGGAGGCACACCGTGGACACGATTGGTCCCTCTTAGATCTGGGAGATGAGAGCCACGGGCACTCCACTTATTCCTGGTGAGAGTTTCTCATCTTTGATTTGGTCTAAGGAGGTTCAACTCCTTGGTAAGAGAATTTTGATTATTGGTTTATCTATCAAAACAATTATCTCTGGTCGATGGCCTTCTCTTTTCTTATGCAGTCGACCTGATTCTTGTCTATGAATCGTCAAAGGTCGTCGAGGGTCAATCTTCAACTTTCCAGAAGGGCATTGAGAACCCTCTGGTGGTCGTGGAAAGGGATTCAGTTAATTTTGTGGTCAACCGTATGGACGAGATGATGGATTTCTTTGCCCGTGAGGCTGAGCTCAGAAGGAAGTTGAGGCCCAAAGAGAGACCAATATACATTAGTTGAAGGTGTGGCTAGATTCTTCTTCTGAAAAACTGTCATCATAACTCTTTGACTGTAAGGTTGATGCAACAGATCATCGGACCGAGGTTGTGATCCTTTGAATGGAAACTATGCATTTGCATACGAACCTGAAAGATATTGAGAAGCTTGTTTAGCTTCCCATTTTCAGGCCTAAGTTGACAATGTTCATAAGTTTAAATTAGGAGGTCAAGTCTTATACAAAGAGTTGTTGAGGCGAGCACCAGTTGTGCCTCAAGTGGTCGATGGGTCAATTGTATTTTTTTTTATTTGAACGAATATAAGTTTTGCTTCTCGGTTTGTAGGCTTTTTATTTGTGTGGATATTATAAATTTTCCATTTTTTTCTTGTGACGTAACGCGGGGTTCGCGTTCCCGATATGCAGTTTGTGGTGTTTTCTCTTCCTTTTGAACCCTACATATAAGGATGAGGCCCTTCTATGACTTCATTTTTTTTCTTTTGCTTCCTCTGGTCGTTTCTCCCCTTTCTTCCTCCCGTCAACTACCCTTTATGGCTTCCAAGTACTTGCCCAAGAAGCTTGGGAAAGTGCACACATTGGAGCGCTCAATGTTTTGCTCCAAAAAGGTTTCGAGTCTCTAGAATACATATGTTTATGAGGATGGCATATTGGAATTTTCAGGTCTGAACAACCAAGAGACCATCGATTATAGGGAGTGAATCGTGTTGTATCACGATTAGTTCGTTCAAGAGCTTCATCTTCCACTCTATCGTAAGCTCTGGGCCATTTTGAATCATTACAATGTTATTCTGGCCTAAGTTAAGGCTAACTGCATAGCGGTGGAATGAAAATTCCTTGGTTGCGATAGCAATTCTCTCATGTGTTCTCTTTTAGGGTCAAACTAGACGGTATGATAAATTTACCTTGGATAGAAATATTCGGCTAATCAATATGGAAAACAAGGTAAAGAACTAGATGTGCAGCTTTCTCCTGGATAGGGAATTCTCAGTCACCCATCTAGGAACCATACAAGCTACAGAAGATCTCTCCTCAGATGTGTTGTTTGGCATCATCGGTCGAAAGAAAAAGTCTTTCCATTGTCTAGTATACTTGCAAGGACATAGTTGATAAGATTTTGAATCCCAACAAGTAGTTTCAAATGACAGGAGGGTTGTGAGCCATCTCGAATGCTGAGGAGTCAAAGCGACCGATCGACAAGGTGGCTAAGGCCTCCACGAAGGAGCTGATAATGTCTGAAGAAGACCCTAGGTCCAAACCTCTTCATTTCTACCTAGGAAATGATCGTCGTATTCCAACGGATTTTGACTAGTGGGCTAACCATGATTGAAAGAAATTCATCTTTTACAACAGGTGACGTGGGGGTGATGACGTTGCCATCCCTTCTATTTTGAGATCTGATGTTGAGTCCATTATAGACAATGAATTGATCAAGGCTCAAGAGGACCCTCCGTCTGATGCATCAAGTTTCATTGCCTCGCTGAGAGGGGAAAAGCCAATCAATCGTCTCTCTGCCTTGTAGTAAGATAAGAGTAGGGTCCTAGTTAGAGTGCAGATCCAAACAACTCAGGCTTTTGGTGTGGGGCCAATCTGAAGGTTGCGACCGCAAGTCACAGGTTTGACAGAGGTGGTGCTACTCCCCGCACCAAACCTGAAAGTGTTTCTTGATTCTCAAGAGGTCCTGACAAAGGAAAGGGAAGGATCCTGTGCATAATGAGGATTCACCCTTTTTCTCTCTTCCCGGGGGTAGCAATGAATGTATCTCGATGTAGGAGGAGGGACCAAAAGAACTCATCTTGAGGGATTCTCAGTTTTCCCTGATTGATCTGTAGCTGGATTGATTTGAATTTGACCGTGGCCTGGGAGTGGAGTCCCACACCATGGAGCTTGCAGAGACGATATAGTTTGCAAGTTCTAAGGACAAGTTGGACGACCTCAGCCCTTGAAACTATGCCACCTTGTTGATATGTACCAGTTGTTGGGGTGGTGTGGTCTCACTAGTTGTCCAAGGTGGTGCAGAAGAAGAAGAAGGCGAAAGTTGTCAAGGATTGTCTGAAAAAAGCCTTACGACGGACAGACTAGGCTGAGGCTTGCATTGCATAATAGGAGGAGAACCTTGTGGGAGCCTCATGATGGCTCTTGGTTGCGCAAGAAGAGAACGACAATTTGTCTGTGAAGGTCGCTTCGTTGGTCTCGACTGAGGTGCATGCTGAAGAACGGGTAGTTCCGGGTTGGGTCCAAGTTCCCTATCAAGGAATGGCCTACCTGAAGTATGCAAACCTAAGTGGATTTACTAAGTTCTTGTCGACTTCATCCCCTTTAATAAAGAAGTCTGTCAGAGATCGAGGAGGGTGGTTCTTCGACTTCCCATCCCTAAAGCTTTTGTGGGGAGGGACCTTTTTTTTTCTTTTTCTTTTGTAAAGTGGAAACACTTGTAATGAAGACTAATGAATATATATATATATAAGGAAGTTGA